TAATTCTGGGAAGAATGCAAACATGCACTTGCTGAATGAGTACTATACACCTGCACTATTGCTAGGCTTTATAAGGGCTGTAAAATAAAGCATGGTATCTAGTCTTACAAAGTCTACAAAGCACCAGAAATGTTTATTATTCTTTCTCTTTACTAAAGTAGCCTATGTTTTGTTTTAAATACAGAAAGAAACAGTAACAGGTAAACAAACTGTCTTAAGTCACATAACAGCTCAAGTTACATTATTTAAAGGTCTCAAAAAGGAGAAATACTGATGAAAGGAGAAACATTAGAAGACTAATGAGCTATGTCTTTACTGGTACACAAATCAATGTGGTTTAGTAAACAAAGAAGAGAATATCAGAGATGAATAAGGATTGTTTAGGTTAAAGGCAAACACAACTAAATCACCGGGTGAAGAGGTAGAAAATATAGACCATAAATAGAACACAGGTTTTTCATTAAGGGTAAATGACAAATACCCTCAGATGCATTTATCATGCACATATGCAGAGATGTGTGTATTTTATATACCTACCCTCTTTGTTTTGCCAGAGAGAAGAAAGGCTAGACTAAGTACATATAAACACATCAGTTTTATAGATAAGAACCTAACACCTCATCTGCCTCAAAATTTAAAAAAGTTCTAAGAGAGAACAAACTAAAACACTAAATGCTAAAGCTTATTACTAGAGTCACAGGGCTGGCTTTCAGTGCCATATTCAAGGACTATTTGCTTTTACTTTATGCCCTATTCTCACTGTTTGGTTATGTGGCTTCTCATTTTAGAAGTGTTATGAAAAGATATTCCAAAAGCCACAATATGAGAACCAAAAGAAAGCCAGAGAGAGAGAGGGAGAGAGACAGAGAGAAAAAGAGAGAGAGAGAGAGAGAGAGAGAGAGAGAGAGAGAGAGAGAAAAGCTACAAAAGCATGTGTATATACTGCAGTAGTCTTTAGGACATTATCAAATTATAGAACAGCACATTCATTGATGTTTCATTTCCTCCTGGTAAGAAATAGGAAGACCACTAGCTGGATATGGTGGCATGTGCCTATAGTACAGGCTGCTTGGGAGGCTGAGGTGGGAAAATTGCTTGAGCCCAGAAGTTCAAATCTAACCTGGGCCACATAGTGAGATCCAGTATCTTTGGGAAAAAAAAGCAGGGGATGGGGAGTGGTTGGGAGGAAGAAATAGGAAGCGTATACTATGTTTTATTCAAATTAAAGAGTTGGGCCTGGTGCAGTGGCTCACATCTGTAATCCCAGCACTTTGGGAGGCCAAGGCAGGCAGATCACCTGAGGTTAGGAGTTCAAGACCAGTCTTGCCAACATGGTGAAACCTGCCTCTACTAAAAATACAAAAAAAAAAAAAATTAGCTGGGCATGGTGGCAAGCACCTGTAATCCCAGCTACAGGGAGGCTGAGACAGGAGAATTGCTTGAACCTAGGAAGTGGACAGCAGTGAGCTGAGATCACATCATTGCACTCCAGTGTGGGCAACAGAGTGAGACTCCCCAGATTCCCCATCTCAAAGACAAACACAAACAAATTAAAGTGCTAAGTAGCTTACCCGGTGACTACACATAAAAGAGATGTTGAGGTACGAATTCACCTACTTTTAACAAAACAACAAAAAACCTAGACTTGAGGCATTTTGAATTGCCAAGAAAACAAACAGGGATGATAGACAGTTTCTAGGCTAAAAACCTGCTTTTCCTTCCTTTTTAATGCTATTAAAAATAACAGAATAAGAATAAACATTGCTCAACGACAACAGAAAAACAAGGAAAAGTTCTCTCATGGATCTTTGTCTTCTTCTAAATGACAATTACTGCTTAAAACAATAGTCCAACAATATCTCTTTATCGTTTTGAAGAGTTAAAAAAGATACAGAGGCCAAGGTTTCTTTACAGGTTTTACTTTAGACATAGCCAATTACTGAGTTCAAATTCAAACTTAGCTTGATGACAACTGTGGAAAGCCAAAACAAAGAATATCTATGCTATCTGCCACAGTGTGAATGTGTCCCCTGCCAAATTCAAATGCTGAAATCTACACCCACAATGTGATGGTATTAGGAGGTACTAAACACTTTTGGGAGGTCATTAGGCCATGGGGGTAGAGTCCTCATAAATTCGGTAAGTGTCCTTATAATAAAGGAATGGGAGAGACCCCTCCCGGTTCCAGTGTGAGGACACAGCAAGGAGACACCTATGAGTCAGAAGGCAGGCCCTCACCAGACGCTGGTACCTTCACTGTGAACTTCCCAGACTCTAAAACTGGAAGAAATAATTCTCTTGTTTATAAGCTACTCCGTTTATGGTTTTTTGTTACAGCAGTCCAAAAAGACAAAGACATCATCTAAGAACATAAAATCCTTGAGAACAGAAGCAATTTTCTATTTTTATTCAATAGTAAAAAAGAAGAGAAAATGTAATAACATTATTCTTAAAGCAATGACTTACAAACCTTTCTATCTGAAGCCCTGATTCTGTTCATCCAAACTCTAAACACACATCAAGAAATTCCTACCAATTGTTTCCACTTGAGTATTTTGTCATCATCTCAAACTAAACCCTGGATCAAACAGAAAAAATTCCCAATCCTTTACTTTTCCCCTCTTCAGGCCACACCAGCTTCCTATTTTAATTTTCCAACTCCTATCATGCAGCCTTTCAATCACCATACTCCATCCTTCCTGCTGCTATTGCAAAGACCCTAGTGCAGGCTCTTAATCATTTCATTTGGCTATAAAAGATTCCTCATTAGTATATGTGCTTCTACTTTCTTTCTTCCTTTAAATTATGGTGACCGAAAAGTCTTTCTAAATGATGGGTTTTTTTTTTTTTCCTGCTACTCTCAACTTTAAAAGTTCTTTAGTACCTACAAGATAAAGTTAGAAGATCCAACTGATTGACATTTAAAATTTATAGAGACCACCTGGCTGTCTATGAAGGTGTCTCCTTCTTCCCTCCCTGCTCAGTGTAAGTCCCTTCCAAGGCCACAATTCAAAGTCTGTATGTGGTCAGGGCTCAGTATAATCTGGTTTCCAATTACCTTTTGATTTTTCTCTTCCTTTAAATCATGTGAATCTTAGGTTTCACTATGTTAGTCTACTTTCTTATCAAACGTGTATTCCTCTAGCATACCTCTTTTAGTATTATTTTGTGATGATAGGGTGGAATGTAAAAAATATTTTTATACTTAAAATATACAATATCTATTATCAAAGTATTGATATATTCACATCCATTAAAATATCGAACAGTGTAAGCGGTATATATATGATAAAATGAATGCAATCTTATGGGCTCAGTTAATGAATGCCAGAAAGCTACAATGTACTCTGTCTGAATGATGCCAGGCAATTTGTCTGACAACTCTGCCGAGGTTTCCTTTATTGCCACTATAATGTTTTCTGGTGAGTAATTTTCATCCACAGCAGCTTAAAAAAAAAGTCAGTGATAGTGCTAGACTAGATGGATCCCAAAGAAATATATTATTCTATAGGTTTTATAGCCATAAGAGTTTCTAAGGAAATGTTAAAGAAACAATAAGATACTGTCAATTATAGCTTAATAAAATGCCCTTTGATGTTACGGGGGAGAATATAAACATTACTGCTTCTTGAGAGAACTGAAAAATAATTTTAAGAGGGGACCTGGAAGAGAGTGCAGCTGAAGACCTGTTGTGACCTCACAGTATGTGAAACACACAGGAAAAAACTACCAATGTGCAATGGTGAGACCCATCTTCACAGGACTGCGCTACACCTATTCTGTACCAACCTCACTACTGGCTCTCCGATTTCCAGAACTGCAATCATACAAAACTGGGTATGCAAGTAATAAGAGGTATGTCAAACACGAGAAACTGTCCTTTTACTTAAACCAAAACACAGGAGTCTATTATTAAATGAATCCACTTCCTGCTGAAACCTACAGCTGGTCCAGTTCAGCCCTCATTGCTATATTTCTTAGATGTGTTCATATATTTAAAAAATGTGGAAAATGGATCTCTTGGCTTCTCCCTTCTAGGTTATGTAAACTGCAACCCTAAGCTAGATCTTTTAGTTATTTTTCATTTACCAGTTACTGAGAAGAATGTCATAATTATTTTCCTGAAATCTGCACCTAACATTAATGGAAAAGCTTCAACATATTCAAAGCGTAATCTATCACTATTTTTTTTCAAGTTTTAATCAAAGCTTGTATATAAGATTACTTTATTCCTGCATCTTCTCAATTGTTTCTTCCTTGTATTTGCCCTTTTCCTTTCCTGCTTGGCGAGATTTGGCTTTCCGTTCAAGGATCTTTTTACGGTCTTTGTCCAGGTTTAGCCTAGTGATAACCACCTTGCTGGGGTGAATGCCTATGTGGACAGTTGTGCCATTAGCCTTTTCCCGCTGCACCCATTCAATGTAGATTACGTATTTCTTCCTGTAAACCTGGACTACTTTGCCAATCTGCTGACTTTTATAGTGTCCTCATACAACTTGAACTTCATCATCCTTTCGGATGGGCATGGATCGCACGTAGTACTTCTGTCTCAGCTCTTTGGAAAGAGGGGAGGATATAATCTTCCTGCAAATGTGGGAAGGTGCATTGAAATGCCTTTTGCAATTCTTGCTTCGGTCGGAAGTCACAAAGGGACTGAACTTCATTTTGGCTGCTCCCGCTTCGGTGATGGCCGTAAAAGGGAAGAGCTGTTTAACTTTTTAAAACACTTGATACCAATGGCAATCCAAAGATCAATGGCTGTCTGTCAAATACTTTCTGCCATGTGTTATATGTGAAAGACTGGGACAGTGGCATTGTAACTTTTATCAAAGAAAGGTAAATATATTTTGTATACTTCTAAAAACTCAAACACTGATTATGAATGGAATTCCTTCTTGCAATTGTCATACAAGAGAGTTAAAACAAACAGAAAAACTGACTACCTCTCTTGAAGGTGACTTTAAAGTCCACAGAAAGACCTCAGAAGGTAAAGAATTTACCTTATTTTCTTCTAGAAATTTTAATTTGATAGAAACATCATTGCGCATTTTATCATATTTTTCCTTATGTGCTTGGAAGAGATGCTGTGACTGCTCAATCTTCGGCAGAGTGTTTGCATCACGTGGTCCAAGATTCAGTTCTTCCAAATCAGTGCGATATGCATCATATTCAATCCTGGAAAGAAGAGAGTAAGTGAAGCATACTACAAAAGGAGTTAAATATGTTCAAAGATGGGTTGGAAATTTATAATATTCAGTTTCATACTATACAGTAATACATAAAATTCTCATACATATTCTACTTAATGCTTTTGAAATTATTATTTCTTTAAAAACAAGGAGCTATAGCCGGGCGCGGTGGCTCAAGCCTGTAATCCCAGCACTGTGGGAGGCCGAGGCGGGTGGATCACGAGGTCAAGAGATCGAGACCATCCTGGTCAACATGGTGAAACCCCGTCTC